CGGGGCTCCCATGTCCCGGCTGATCCCGCCGCGGGCGCCCAGGGCACTTCCGCCTGTGAGGCCCCGCCCCGCCAAGAGCCGGGTCGGAGGGGGTGCTTGGGGTGCGAGGTGGAGGGGGATGTGGGGACCCGCGTAGCGGGGCTGAGCGCGCGGGGAAGTGGGGGCGCGCGTAGCGGGAAGGGAGCGCGCGAGGAAGTGAGTCAACGAGGGACGCGGATGGAGAGGGGGGGACGCTGACCGGCGACCCGGCGCGCAACGGAGACGCATAGGAAGGAGGGTCCCGCGGTGCGCGCTGGAGCCGAGGGACGGAGGTGGGGCGCCGGGGCCTGAGTGGAACGCCCTGGAGACGTGACCGGACGCCCTGCTTGCTTCCCGGACGTGCCGCGAGTCTGCGGGACAGGAGGGTTTGCGTGTTAACTGTGTAGCACTCAAGGGGCTTCCCGCAGGATCGCCCCTCAGTTCCGGCACGGGTGGGCCGAGCTCCGGTCCTCCGTCCAACCGCAGAGCCGCTAGGAGCGAGTCCAACGCACAGTTATGCGCAAATGAGAAAGCTGCTCGAGCTCATGGACACTCAGTACGTGACCAGGGTGGACCTCGTGGGTCCGCCTGGAGAGACAGATTGCGAGCGGCTTAAAGATACTTGTGCAAAAAGAAACGATGCCGTCGGGGCGTATAAAACCTGGGGAAGCCTTTTCAGTCTGGAGGAAGGGCAGGCCCTGCCACGTTTAGCAGGAAATTCTGGGCACCAGTGATGGAAAGAGAGTGGAAGAAATAACGGCGCAGGTGAAAGGCAGCAGAAGCCAACCAAGTAAGCTGGGCTGGAGCGGACCAGCCTTATCCGAGAGGGCTCATTTTAATAAGCTACAGAACTAAGGAGCTTAGCCAGGAAGCCCTGCTGCTATCAATAGGAAACCGCAATTCCCGGGATCCAAGGATTGACTCCGAGGGTCCCGGAAAGGGATATGCAAATATCAAGCGGCCCTTCCACAAATGCAAATTAAAACCAATGGAGAACCACCGCTCCGCTCCCCGCCCCCAAACACACCGCGTTTTTATTAACCCTATAAACCAAATCGACAAGACGACAGCATTTTATCTCACCGCCGGACAGACGGACAGACATATTATAGGGATGTGGTGGTTAAGATTGAACCTAAAGGAGCGGTTACACCCACCCAAGTAGCCACTCCCCAGAACGCAAACACAGAAACCAGCACTAGCCGGTGTCAGTCTCCGTGGGCTCCCATTCGCCAGCACTGCTGCGTCTCCACGGCGGGTGGGGCACGTTCGCTCCAGTGCTGGCCCTCAGAGAAGTGGGCATTTGCATATGTATGCTACATCTCCATCGCCGGAGCCAGCCCCACCGTAGGTAGGACTGCAAACAGCTGGAAAACAGGAAGCGCTGAACCACTGCCAGGCAGGGTCCCTATCCAATGCGTCTGGGCAGCAGCGGCAGGCTGCCATTTTTGTGCAAAACAGAACCGGGCAGAGGAAAAAGGCCGCCTCCGGAGGGCCCACACGGGTGCCGGGCTGGCTGGGGGAGGAGCCCTGGCTCACAGGACCGGGGTACCTTTTGACCTTTGTACTTGCCCGGATTCTTTGTCCAGGTCGGAAGGGAGGGGAGGCTGCCCAGCCCGCCCAGGGCCAGCGAAGGGCGGAGAAGGGTGGAGACTGGAGAGTGGGAGCCTGGGAGGAAGGGCCTGGAGGCCAAGCCATGAAGCCCTTTGTACCCTCAGCATCTGGGCTGCCCAGCTCCCTTGAGAGGGGCAGGTCAGTTTCTGGATTTGGCTGAGCTGATCCTCATCCCAGGGTCATGTTGAGAACAGGAGGTATGGCCAGGTGTCCATTAGCCTGCCTCCTCCCTGGCCTGCCCCACAGTCCCTCTGGAGCCCTCCTCACCCCAGGACCACCCCCTGAAGAGTGTGGCCCCTGAGGCATCATGGGCAAGGCTCCCAGACCCCAAGTCCTCTCCACCAGGTTGAGACCTTCCTTAGAAAAGACTGTAGGACAGAGTGCAACTGCCCCACGGGTGTCCAAGGCTGTAAATCCTTAAAGCAGCAGACTAACTCATCTTTAAGAGCCCTGGTATTTTTGAACTCATATTTAACCCACTGCGCCACGACATCTGAAGCCTCAGAAACCCACAGGGTCCCCTCTCACTACTGCATTGGACTAAAGAGAAAATTTAAAGAAAAAAGAAACCCACAGGGTCAGTTCCACTCTGTCCTA